TGATGAGTTGTCCTTACCGTGTACCACAAAATACGGCAAATACGGCACAACTAGTAAAAATACTTGGCGATACTACACAACAAAATATCTAATGAGACATATCTATATGAATAATTTAATTCCAAAACTTTGCAAGTGCAATTTTAACGGTATTCTTTTTCTCAATAACACAAACTGCCCTAAACGGTTTCTCCGTGATCTCAGGGACAGATGAAACAGAAAATGTTTGAGGCTGAAACCACACTATATTAACCCCTGTTGGATAAGAACGAGTTTATTTAACATCTCGAATTTTTCACGTTCTCTTAGGTAGCATACTCAAGCTCATGTTTATTTAAGATTCATTAGGATTTATTGCTTACTTTGTTTTAACAAAATATAGTTTCTAAAAGGGTTAAAGAGAAAACTGCAATTCATAAATGGTTTATTTCAACGAAAACCGTAAGTTTGAGATCACCAAAAAAACGCAGTGCGAGTTGTTCTCCACTACATTACTGCATTAAAAATAAGGTCCACACCACAAAAACACAAACCCCAATGGTTATCAATATACTCCTTTTTTCACAGACTAAATCAAATGTTCAATTCCATGGCCTGCATGAAAAGAACGAGTTGTAGTTAGTACGCTAGTACATAGGTATTCATGCTTGCTGGAGAGGTTTAATTAGTACGCTAGTACGTAGGTATTCATGCTTTGAGAGGTTTACTTAGTATGCTAGTACGTAGGTATTCCTGCTCGCTCGAGAGGTTTAGTTAGTACGCTAGTACCTAGGTATTCATGCTTGCTCGAGAGGTTTACTTAGTAGCTAGTACGTAGGTATTAATGCTTGCTCGAGAGGTTTACTTAGTACACTAGTATGCTAGTACGTAGGTATTCCCACTCGTTCGAGAGTTGTAGTTAGTACGCTAGTACGTAGGTATTCATGCTTGCTCGGCGAGAGCTGTAGTTAGTACGCTAGTACACTAGTACGTAGGTATTCATGCTTGCTCGAGAGGTTTAGTTAGTACGCTAGTACGCTAGTACGTAGGTATTCCTGCTCGCTCGAGAGGTTCAGTTAGTACGCTAGTACGTAAGTATTTATGCTTGCTCAAGAGCTGTAGTTAGTATGCTAGTACGTAGGTATTCCTGCTCGTTCGAGAGTTGTAGTTAGTACGCTAGTACGTAGGTATTCATGCTTGCTCGCTGAGAGCTGTAGTTAGTACGCTAGTACGTAGGTATTCATGCTTGCTCGAGAGGTTTACTTATTACGCTAGTACGTAGGTATTTATGCTTGCTCAAGAGATGTAGTTAGTACGCTAGTATGCTAATACGTAGGTATTCCTGCTCGTTCGAGAGTTGTAGTTAGTACGCTAGTACGTAGGTATTCATGCTTGCTCGCTCGAGAGCTGTAGTTAGTACGCTAGTACGCTAGTACATAGGTATTCCTGCTCGTTGGAGAGTTGTAGTTAGTACGCTTCTACGTAGGTATTCATGCTTGCTCGCGAGAGGTTTAGTACTGTTAGTAATGTAGTACTGGTGAAAGCTGTTAGTACGGTAGTACTGATGAATAAGCAAAAATCTACAGAAAAGCATTCCTGTAATGGGCAGCATATGAAAAAATGAGTGATCCCAAGATAGAAGCCGAAGAGAATAAAGATCAAATCGACGCGGGTATTACCTTTCATATCTAGTTTGACAAGAGTGGTGACAACAGCACGGGGTGTTCCTGGTTACGTTGGATAAGCGAACATACTGTGATACCCTGAATTAAACTATGGAAACAAAACTAATCGTCAGACCGCACGAATTTCAGGCCTTAGTGGATTTTTATAAGGGGAAAATATCAGAAAGTACCCTGCTAGATAAAGCTGCACGAGTCGCTGCCGAAACTCAAATGTTACTCAGAGATACACGCACGCAAGCTGGATTGAAAGAACCCATGGTAAAACAATTATTAATGCAGGAACGACAATTAACCGATCAGTTGAGACAATTACCCGCCGGCGTCAGACCTAGTCAAGACGATCTGCAGGGAAATCTATTAGATTCAGTGCGAGAAAACCTCCTCAAAGATTTAATTCGTTCACGTGACGTTTCACTTTAAAAGGATTAAATAAAGACACGAACACAGTAAGAAAATCATTCATTGTGTCACAGCAAACCCAACGACATGAGTGACTTTTACTTGACGTTACCCAGTAACGATGGGAGTGTCAAATACTTTCCTGGAAACACCAACAACTCTTGGAAAAATCGGCTCAATAAACGTTTGGAATTGGAAGGAGAATGGGAAGTGGGGATGACATGCATTTCCTTACCGTCCGAATCGATCCTTACACCTTTTCTCAAGGGTCTCAGACAAATTCATCATGATGAAATCGTATCGCGAAGTCAACGAGGGTGACTCGTCACATGAAAATGTAGAAGTGAGTGTTTCTTATGGTGTTTCTTGTGGTGTTGTCTTATGGTGTTTCTTATGGTGTTTCTTAAAGATACCTGCATGACGACAGTCTACGACCTTCTCAAAATTCTATTCGAGAGAGAATACGAGTTATTCTTAAATAAACTCACGCAGAAACATTCCTTAGTGCATAAACCGGGGAAAGAACAGCTTTAATTTGATACCATTTTTAACAAGGAGGAAGGTACGCTGACAGTGACGTCTGAAAAGGTGGATGAGAGCGTGTACCCCTCCCGGTGAGAGTTTAGAGATCACTGTCAATTTACTCTAAGGAAAGACACGTGTGAACTTTTTGGGTGGATAAAGGCTACTCAATACAAGAGTGTCGATACATTCAAAAGTGGACCTAATCTTGCCATGAGGAAATGCGGTACTCAATTTGTAGAGGATCGTACTGTGTCCCAGCATTATTATTATAGATATGGGCTTTTTGAATCTGCGATGATGGGTAACAATAGCTTCATAGCCAAATCTATAAAGTTTTTTCTCGACGAGTTTACCTACACCTTTACCAATCTCAAAGAAAGCACTTATGAAAATGGTATGGACCCAGGCACGCTGTATCTGTACTTTTCCCTGTGTGCACCCGTGATGATGGGGGGTCAAATCACCGATCTCATGCATACGTTTGAGTATCGTCCTCTATTACAAGGGAATTATTATTACGAACCGAAACACATTCATTACATTCCTTTGTGAAATCAACACATTGACGAAGTGGAAATGCAACTCAGTGAATCAGAAATGAATCAATTTGCTCAATTTTCCCATGACGGAGCGAGTATCGTGACGTTTCTCTTTAGAAGGGTTAAATAATGTATGCCCCGAACCTTGTTGTATCTTGTAACAGACATAAAGAAACACATAAGTGATGTTAAAAACACTGTTTTTAAAAACAATGTTATATTTATTTTGGAAAAAAATAAAAAACCAACTATTTTAACACATCAACAAGTCTATTAATTCTTGATCCTCATCATCCATTCTATCGAATCCATAGGGATATGATCTAAATCGGCCTAATTGCATCACTCTTTTGTCAAACACTAGACGATAGGATTTGAATTGTGTCTCAGTCCTTATTTTCTTTTTAACTGGATCCCTCATGAAATGAATTGAATTTATGATCTCGGTTTTTCTTGCTTCATCCAGTGGATGCTGGATCTCGTCTATAATGTTCACTTTCATGACGTCATAATTCAGCTGCTGCATGCCTCTCACATTCAGGGAAAAGCCTTTCACTTTGACACAGCATTTCCCTTGGTGGGTCACGTATCCGTAATTTTTGGCCCCAGCAGAGATAAACTCCATGATGTAATCATCTGCGTCTAACTCGTTCGTCATATCCCCCAGGTAGTCACCGAGGGGGATTTCTGATTCCCCGGGCCTCCATCTGTAGAGTACGGAATCGGTGTCATAGTAAAGGACACAATCTTCAAGGACCAGTGAGACAAAAATAAAAGAATTATAAATAAAACTTTTATAAAATAAAATAAGTGACACAACTGCAAAACTTACCTCCAGGGACTCGTAGAGTTTTAATCTGGCCTGACAGGTCATAAAGGCAGCAATGAAGACATTGACTACCTTTCCTTTCTCTGGGTCTATTGTATGACGTTTGGCCACACACTCTACCAATTCGGGTGACAGGATTCTGACATCAATCACTTCCTAAAGCGGGTCATCAAGGAGCTCTAGCAGGCCTGCTGGGTGACTGAATTGGTGAACTTTGGCCTTGTTACAATTCTGACCAAATTTCCCCCAGAAGGAATTTAACATGAGTTTAGCGGTCGCCTTCCTTCCGGGGTTCTTCACGATCATGGCGGGGTCTAATGTAATACCTTCTTTTTCCTTGTACTGGCTGACATAGTGGGCTTTTTGCTCCTCGGTCTGGCACCAGGCGAGGTACCCGCTACTTTCCTGCTTGACCTTTAACCAGGTGCCGGCGTAAGGAGCAAAGAGCCCAAGCTGGCGTTTCTCAAAATGCCACACTTCGTGGATACATATGAGTTGGTACCCCATCTGAATCGCTTTGAGAATTTCGTGGGTGCACCAGGTACCAATCAGCATTCGTTCCTTGTCTGAGTGGGTGCAGACGAAATTTCTTTCAGGGAGGGGCTTGAGGGATTCTTCGGTGACACAGGACCGGCATAGGGGGAAGGTGAGTTTGCTGGTGGAACCAATTTTCTGTTGATGCGGGAGGACTGGATTAAAGAGGTGTGTGGGTGGCAGGATGGAAACTTTCATCAACCCATAATAGGCGTGGGGGTCTTGGTTGGCGGGTTGCAGGATGATGGTTGGATGGCCAATAGGGTACTCACCGTATTTATTCACCCAAGTGTACTCGGAGGTGACATCCCTGTACCGGATCTGTTCCCCTTGGGTAGAATCAATATGGTGGTAGAGTGTCCTGGCTCCTGTTCTGCCGCCAAAGAAGGCCTCTCGAGGTTGTAAGGGTGAAGTGATCTGGAGGGTTTGTGTGAATCCGCGGAGGACTGGATCTGACTTTTTCTTTTGCTCCCACTGGCACTGCCACATTTCAACGACGGTATACCCCAATCATTGCAATGTGGCAGTTTTTTGTGTCGTCTGGCTACGAAGTGCTTCCACTGTCATTCCAGCCGAGGAAAAGGCGATCTGGTTTCTTTTCGGGTAATACGACCGACACCCATGGAACAAACACCCATGGAACTCGTATATAGTGCGTGTCTCCGCATGGTAGCCATCCACCGTATATATACGAGATCCATGGGGTATGCTGTATTCTCCGCCCTGGCGCGCGTGCTGTATCCTAGAACCCAGGTCTCTCTCTACCCACATGAGCAACTCCAACGCCACGTGCGAGTGGTTGGGCGTGGCACCTTCCCATCCATTCTCGGGTTCAATAGCGATACTATCTGGCGCCATAACGCAGTTTCGCCAATACCTATAACAAATGTTAACATACAATGATTAATACATTGTAGCGGTTTCGCTCAAGTTGGAAATGAAAGTCTCGTTCCCGGGTTGTTACACGCGCAATCGAAAACACCAAACCAATATGGATATACGATTCTTTCCTTTATTGTTCCTACGTACTCCTATTCTTGTGGCCTCAGGGCATTTATCGATTCTAAGCGGTCAACTGAAATAGTTACATTAAGAAATCACTTAAATATTTGTTTCTTTTACAGCTAAGGAATGATCATAAAACCAAGCGCACGTGATATTGAAAAGGACTTAAACAGTGAAATCTAGCGAAACCTATAACTTCAGAATTACAAACCGACATAGCTTCATAGCCTTAAAGATAATTAGATTGCTGCTTACCAACGTTCGCGGGTCTTGATTTCTATCGAGATTTTCGCTCTAACTTGTCTTCTAGTTTTCACTAACAGATCTTGATCTCGCGGGATCTTCTGAAGAACTGAAAGGCGAGCTATACGCTATGCCTATCTATACTGCGGTAATCCCGGCGGTAGCGTAAGTCAAACCACAAAATATTTCGCGACGTATTTCGATCCTAACGGAAGCGGTTACATACATTGCTAGTCATACATTGCTAGTCATGTACTAAATTCATTTCTACTACTTACCTGTTACAGGCTTGGGCGATGGTAATGCATTTCTCTATAGGGTCAAACTTGGCGATAGCCTTGAACTCCGCGATAAATTTTAGGCACCCAGCTTTGAGGAGGGCTACATCCGAACGACAATAAGAAATCAACTCTTCTTTAAGATTGAAGGGAAGATTCTTACTGCGTTCTCCCGCATACCACTCCTCAAACTCTTGTTTCTTCTTAGCAGACATGCCATTCGGGTCGTAGTACTCTGGTGCAGGGAGGGGGCCAATGTAATTTTGATGGTCGGGGGTGTGGAATTTGTGAGGGAAGAATCCCTTTTTCAACTCAGGTATACCAAAGGTCGAGGAAAAGGACGCCAAGGACATCGGCAGGAAACACATACTGTCCTTGAAGGAAATTTTTCCCACTTTCATACAGAGATTCTTTGTTCTGTTGGGGATGAGAAATTCAAACCTCGGACCCTCTTTCACCATTTGCTCCTGTAGGAAGACGGAATCATACCCCTTAAGATTATGGAATATACCGATGACTTCCCGGAAATCAGAGTAGTGATGATTCTCTTCCGGTGGACCGTAGGCCAATTCGTCGAGAAAGGCTAGGAAGTCACCGGTACATTCCGGACCATAAAACTCCATGACGTCATCGGACTTGGACGTTTGGGCCACGATGAGTATAGGGGTACGAGTTCCGTCTTCATCCAGCATAGCTTCGTAATCGTCTTAGACTTTAATGGGAGGCTCATACTATTCAGAGGCTTCTGGATTCTTTTTTCTTTGTTGTTTGACTTTGTTTTTCGGTTTTTTCTTGCGCTGGTCTTCTTCGGGGCTGACGGGTTGAATGAAGCATTGATGGTTGCGTAGATCGACACCTTCTTTGCAATTCCTGCATTCACCCCAGTTACATCGGTGAAGATCCTTTTTGTCTGGCTTGAACTCATGGCAACACATGCCACAACAAATGAGCTTTTGGCACAAACCCCTTTCCCGATGGAGTGACATACAGGAATTGTCAAAGAAGTGCCGATTACATTGGGTGCAGTGCAGTGAGGGAAGTGAATCTTTTGGGCCACATTCTAGCATCTTGCACGAGGGGCAACGGCGTCCTTCGCACGGGTGGTGTCTGTATTCATCCGTATTAAAACCACGGTTGCACTCTGACAGAAATAACTCCTTTTGATAAAGGAGGCATACGACGTGCAACCGTGGTAATGACCCACGCCTCCCTCAGGATCGGATTCGAACAGAAGACTGAGAACCGAGGGACCACAGTTCTTCCCTTCGAAGGTAATGGAGTATGGATACCTGAAATTTCAGAAAAAAGGAAGTAAGTCATGGAAGTAAGTATGTCGTGGGAATAAAGTAAGGACATAGATTTACCTCACACTCATCACTTTCAGACGATAGTCAGGAGCGAGATATTCCTGGAATTTTATTAATTCTGCCCTTCCACATGGTCCTTCCGGCACACCAGCCTGAGCGAGTAACTGTCTATAAGATAAATAAGAATATTATTAGAATATTATAAGAAAGAATATATAAATAATAAGATGATAAGGTCATACCTTTTACTATCCTGGTGTCACAAGGACGACACCAGGCCTTGGTGAGACAATTGGCTCTGGCCAGACACAGGTTGTCCTCCTCATTCTTAATGGCTAGAACATACTTTTTCCTTTGGAGAACGGTGGCCATGTTTAATTTCCCGAGAATATTGAGAGCTGTTTTGCCACTGGCGTCTGGTTCGGCGATAATGGTCATATCGACCTGAAAGTCGTCGGTGGCGTCCAAACTCTCATTGGAGTTGAGTTGGTTCGTCAACATCAGAAGGTATGTATCCCAGTGGGAAGTATCCTCGACGATTTCCTCCACGCTGAATTTCGCCAACTGCAATGGATGACTAAACTTTTTTGTCGTGAAATTAAACATGACCCGATCGTTTGGATGAAGGTCTCTACCATTGGGTGCCTTGGACGATTCCAACACGCGACGCGCCATATCGGCCACGCCGCAGGTAATTTCCTTGCCAATGTCATCCTTTAATAGAAGAACCAAGATATTAATAGTTTCCTTTCATAAAATATCGAGATAGCATATAAAACTTACCTTTTTAGTGGCCTCACGCAGCTGTCTTTTCTGGGCTGTCCCACGCTGTTTTTTTACAGTGTCCAGCGCTTTCTTGGAGCGCCCCACGGGTTCAAATTCAAAATGAAACAGGGGTGAAGTCTCCCTCTCCATTTCCTCCCCTGTCTCTATCATCTCTTGATCGGAGACCTCGGGACTTTCAATCAAATTGCCGATCTCATTTAGCTGAGCATCAGTGATACCATCATTGCCAAATTCTTCATTGAAAGTTCGTTTACCCTTTTACAACACAAACAAACATTGTAAATCAATTAAATAATACACACGCTGTTCAATGAAATCATTTAAAAATTAACGGTACAATAACATTCACTAATTATTCACAATCACGTCTGCAAACTGAACGAAATTTAAATATCCTACACGCGTGTCAATTCTCAGAGGGAATTTTAAAAAAGAATACACTCGCAATTACGTTATTGTTAGGCATGATAGCTGTGGTTGAATAAGACTTGTGAATGTCTCTTCTAGCGTTGAGCTTCTTCTTCTTCTCGCAGGAAAAATCGACTACTGTGCTGAAGCTAGAACCTCTGCTAGTTATATAGGAAAATTATAGCATCCCCACGTGAGGAAACTTATCCAATTATATTTGAATATTTTTAACGGTGGAATATTAATTTTACGGCATCGTTTGGGTGATTGACAGCTTGTGAACTTTGTGTTATTACATCTATGTTGTGACACCTGTCACTCATATCACAGTAACGAAAACATTCTCCTTCCCTTTTACAGTTCATTCCCTGCTTGAACCTGCTTCAAGACACATGACAAAAATTCTCTCAGTGCTTTTTTACTCTCACATTAATTCTCTACCTTCTCGCAAGTATCACTTCATTATTATTATTTTTTTTATAAAAAGTCATGTATTTACACTCAGTATTATTTTTTCACAGATGATGAATCCTCCAAGACGATCAAGCCGTCTGCAGAATCAATCTCCACAACGCGATGGTAACCCGGTGAACTGTTTCGTTTGTATGTTACAGATTTGCGTCAACATGGTCAGTGCAACTGCCACCCCTTGTTGTCAGAATTGGGTACACCATCGGTGCCTGCATAACCGTGTCCAGAGAGCTAATGTCTGTGGCCTCTGCCGAACCCCTTACCCCGCTGATTTTATCGCCAATCACCGCCAAGCTGTCCTTCCACTGGATGATGTTGACGACACACCAAATGTGTATGATCATTCCGATGATGATAAACACCGTGAATTTTACGGCATCAAGCCATTACGGAACTTGGGCAGTTGTTACAACCAGGTGCAATAGAAGCACGCATACGCGAAGTGAGTATTATGTTTTCAGCCTATCACTTTTTCCCCCTCTCACATTCTAAATGCACCTTTCCTTTCCTTTCCTTTCTAGATGGACAATGATTTACTTCACAATGTACAACATTTTATTCTTGAGCATGCATTTATCGTGACATATTTACATTCTTTGTTTCGCGACTTACAAAACACTCTACAGCATAGACCACCCACTTCTCGTCAGTATGTAAAAGTAGAAATTTATTACCCTGCAGATATGAATGACTATTTTTTACATTTTCGAGATTATTTTGTCAGCATTATAGATAGGTCTTAATACACTCCTTCATTTTTTCGATTTGGTGACTTTTTAGCTTAATTTATTAGACCCCTTCATTTACATTTGCACCTTTTTTTCAAATCAGAGTCCGTTATCCCATATATGTGCATATGATTACTCGCCTTCAACATCAATTCTCTCTCTATACTTATTGCTAACTTTCTTTCTTTCTTTTTCTCTAGATACGTACCCTCCCTCAATGTCCTTCTTTTCATTTCAAAGCCTATTTCAGTCTCTTCAACATTTTATCCTTAGCATGCGAAGAATTATCAGTCATTCTTAATTCGCACGCACATTCCCGGCGAATAGAACTTCTCACACATACGCATTTTTCACCATTAGAAAGACCGTTCAATGTTTTCCTTTATTTATTTTTCCCTCCTCCTATCCATCAATGTATTTATCTCTGGCCATTTATTATAGCTCCGTATTTTTTCTTTTATAATGTGCAATTTGTTTCTGTTATTTATTTCTGTTTTTATTAAATTACAGATTCCCCCAGGAGATTTTGTTATCTACTGCGAGACGAAACCTATTTTTCAATTCATCCATTTTTTTTTTAATGCGTTTTATGATCTCCTCAATCAACTTTTTCTTTCTTTTAACATTCATTTACGACCGCATTATGTGATAGATTTTTCTTTTAATTAATCTGGACTTTTTATCAATATGGTGTTTTTCCCAGTTGTGTCTTTTATATTCTTTTCGGTCATATATTATTTGAGTATACCTCCATTAGGAGTAGATTTACGATTCACCAAGGTATTTTAGAAACTAGAAATCTCATGCATTTTCATAGTATTTCGTACCTCATCCTAAACATTCATCTTTTTCATCTTTTGAAGATTTTGCAAGAATCTCTCTGCCACACATCAATTCAGCATGATTTTGTAATACATTCCACTCACGTCCTGTTACAGCACCTTCACTATTATCTTTTGTTTTTCCCACTCGAGAATTGTCATTTTTATGTAAAACCGCTCTTTTCGCAATCGTTTGAACACTCCCTATTGTATAATCTTAATCCCCATTTTTCTCTTCAAGGTATATGGAACCTTTTGTTTCATATTTATTTATTGCCGGAAAAAATGGACGAATTTATGTTACCTCCATCAAGCGGATTACGCTATCCTTTGTTACCGTTAAGCACTACCTCCCATTCACCTCATATTGAATTAGTCTTATACCAATCCCTTAGGTAATGTACGATTTACTCTGACAATGCACAAGGTTTTTTAAAAAAATGTTATAATTTCTTTTCCTAGGTACCTTCTATCTTTACTTTCGAGGCATGGGAATACTGGCACTTGTTTTATTTTGTAGATTTTTTCTTACAAGACGTGCCTTCAGATCGTGAACTTTTGATTGTATATAACCATTTTGATTATTTTGTACAGTGTAATTGTATTTTTAATATCATGCCAGTTATTTGTTTTTCCTATCAAAGAGCTAGAGTTGAAATGTTAGATATAGCCGATGAGTTATGTCGAAGTTTTTTTTCCGGTATTCCTCTTTCATTTTATAGTCTTCCACTAGATTAATAAATCACCATTCAGTTCAAAATGTCTTTATTGAGTCTTTGTTGCCTATTTATTTGTACAGCAAATATCGTACCATTGTTGTGAGTATTTCACTTCTGTCCACGCTTCTACTTTGCCCATGAGTATACTGGTTTTTTGCCCTGAATCTTGCCATGTTTCGTAGACTTTTATCACATCCTCGAACGTAAAACAACGATCCTGTATTTTCTTTCCGACTTTTGCAAATTCAAACCAATGCGTAAATAAATACATCTGCATGTGAGCACCTTGGGGAATACCGAACCGTCTTAGTTTTTCAGTGACCGCATGGTCGATGAGTTCACACCACTCCTCAAACTCGAATACTTCCATTTTGCTTCGGCGATGGGGAATAAATGGTTCGTCTTGTTTTAAAATCTCGCGAACGAGTACCAGAAATAACCACACATCTCTATAGTCAGCCACGCGGGAAATAAGGCGATGATGAATCTCTAACGTCGGGGTAGATTCAAAACCTAAGATGGCATGCAACAAGATGCCAGCGCGACCCAATTAGGTACAAGCATGTGTATCGAATTTATAAATTTCGTGTGGGCAAAGATAGGACTGATAATATACTTCTTTGGGATATGAATCGGGAAGGTCTTTACAACACTCCATCCTCCCATAAAATGACTACACACATGTCATGTCAATCACATTTATTGGTTCACATATTCTCTTGTCGAGAATTCGAAACGTGTAAAAGTACAAATAACAAGATGCTAAAGCTTGTCGAGAATTCGAAACGTTTAAAAGTACAAATAACAAGAGGCAAAAGCTTGTCGAGAATTCAAAACGTTTAAAAGTACAAATAACAAGACGCAAAAGCATGAAATCAACCTGTTAAATCAATTGTCACTTTTTATTCTTGTCCTTGGAGGCCTCTAGCCTCTTCATCTTTTCTGTGATTTTCTCCTCTACAATGTGCCGAAGCACTTTTTTCACGGCTATGATGGCCTCCTTCTTCTTCTCTACGTATATTTCGTCTTTATCGACTTCAGGCATGGGTTCCTTGAAATGATCTCTCTCTATTGAATCCAAAATTTTCTTTTTCTCAACGTCGTCCTCCCTCTTGAGAATATCTAGCAATGTATCTAGCAAGTCCACCACTTGTTCTGGTTCCAGCTTTAAAACATAATTTCTTGCTGCCATTTTTCTGTCTTGAGGTACTTGATGTGACTGTTTACTCCGACTTGAAGGAAAAGAGGACAACTCGTGGATTGACTCTCTCTGATATATACACTTCTCACCAATCATAGGCCGACACACATGTAACACTCATCTAGAATGTGATACTCCTTTGTTACTGTGAAACTACTTTCACCAGTCTTTGATGAACCAATGCGATTCCAGTGATTTTTTAAACCACTCTGGGGAATATTTTTCACATGTCAATGTCACCAGTTCACTCATGACCTCTGCATGACTTAACATGGGATTACGGAACCACGCAAAGACTTCTGTTACATCGTCAATGAAAAAAATATTTTTCCTTAAACGTTGTCCCAACTGCTGAAACGTGTCCCAATGTTGAAACATGTAGAGTTGCATGTGGCCACCGATAGGGTTCGGCCAGTCGTTGACTTCTCGCACAATGTCATCAAATACTTTTTCACATGCATCCATGAAATTATATTTGCTGGCAGGGTCTTTCATGTTGAGGTCAGGGAACTTCTTTTCAAATACGGCTTGTAAATACTGCAAAAAATAATATACTTTCATAGGATATCGCGTTGTAGAAATCAACTCGTAGCGTATCTTTGGCAATAAAGGGGTATTGAAATACCCCAATATGCCACATATGACTTCACGAGGTCCGCTAATTTTTTTAGTTGCATCCAAATCAAACAGGTACTTGTTTTGGTAAAGTAATTCACTTTCGTTTAAAATTCTCACGTCGCTCATGATGTGACTGCTTTACTGGCTTCAAACGAAATGACGAATTTGTCTTTCGCATGAGTTTTTTATGGAATATCCATGGGCTTTTGGTCGACCACTATTCGTACTGGTAAATGACATCTTAGACAATAACTACAATAAAACGGAGTATAATGCCAATAGTTTGTACATTGGAACCATCTTTCTGCCAGTTTTTGGGCAAAGGCTTTATTATTCCAAATGTACTGTTGCGGCATCATTCAATTTTAAGTAAAGCCAACTTTTCTGTAATGTCTTCAATCCACTTGGGTAAATATACTTTTCTAAAGGCTCTGATGTCGAATCTGTACTCCGCTTCTTTCTCAATCTCTTCAATTAGCATACAAGTATGACTATGGCCGCATTCCTCGGGCTCGTTAAGGCATGGCTCTGGATGATAAAATCCCCCCTGCGAAGTCAATCGCGCCTGGAGAAAAACATTTCAAAATGGCGGCAAAGATGGCGGACATTGTGGCACATCGAAGTTTCGGAAACTCTGTCGCTCTCTTATATTCTGAGGCTTGTTTTTGTTAGAGGTCTGGAATCTCTTGGGAAGAATATGTAGGTAAGAAATTTTTTATCACTGCTTCCTTTTTAACGTTGTTTAAAGGTGTTCCTTGTTGTGCGTCCTTCGATTGAATTCAGTGTGAGTTCGATCAGACTAGATCATTCTAGGCTTTATGCGTTTGTTGACCGACAGGAAAGCTACGTATTACTTTCATCGCCGAGCAGGTGTTAATTTAGTTCCACGCTTTTTTAATTCAATATGTTTCGGACGAAGCGTGAGAAATTGAAATTGTTTTGTGTTGATAGAGAATCTTTCTTTTGATCAGCGTATCCTGTGTTAAATATAAGGTCCAACTTACAAACGTGAAGAGAAAGGGACATTTGTAAGAAGAAAAGCATTTTGTTAGCTTAAGTTAAAATCATGTTTCGTAGAGGAATTTATGATTTAGTTCTGACAAGTAAACATAACATCAACAAACCTCAGTAAGTATGGAATTTTTCCGCCCTTGTTCTTTGCCTCAAAAAGTTTGATCACATCTCACAAGCTATCAAATTGCTAAATTGGATGAAAGTTAACCATGAGAACTAACAATACAGTCATTAGTTTCAATATGACTTGAGTAGATTTAATTTCCTCGACATTATTCATCATGCACTTGGCAAATGTTACATTTTGAGCTCATTTTGTTCAATGAATCCTTTGGAAGCATAAATAAATTGATGACTTAAAAATTGCTGTACAAAATTAAACATTGCAACTTGATTAATCATGTTGTTGCTGTTCTTTTTTAGATTTCTACCACGCTACATTGCCTTCAGTTATGTTCCAGATCTACATACATGTAGGATACTCATATTTATCAGTTGGATTGTTATACTAAAGTTCCTCAAAATGGTATGTATTAAATTTTTTTTTTTGGTGCTTTTTCATGCTTACAGTACATGTGGAACCCACTGAAGAAAGCTTTTCTTTGGACTTAATGTTGAGGACTGTAAATATTAATTATTTTCAGGGCTTGGAAAAATATTATGCAAATCACAAAATATCAGCATGTATTATACGTTAAAACATTGAATATTTGAAGTGTTTATTTAGGAAGGTGAATGGTGATCTTCCATATTTTCAGTAGCTCAGTGGCAACTTTATTTTTCCTCCATGTTTTTGCTATAACTGGATCTTTTTTCATGTGTTTTTCTGTGGGATTTTTTTTAAAGACTTTCTTGAAGTTGGCTGACCACTCAGTAATTGCTTCATTTATGTCCTTGTATTTCTTTAGAACTTGTACTTGAATCTGTGCCAGGTGATTTAAGAAGTGTTCTTTGTGGTATCTTGAGCTTGAATTTTTTGTTGCATTTTTTTTAAGTTTTTCATATAATATAACATCTTTGGTTGTGCCAAGAATCTCTGAAAGAGCTTTTGCTGTTTTGCTGGATGGTAAAAAATCTTCAGATAATTTTGGTTTCTTAGCCAGTGGTTCACCGGTCTCATTTTGCACTGTTTCACTCAGCTGCTGTGGTTCCAGAATCTGATTATTTTCTAGGTTTTCAGTACTCTCTTCTTCATCAATTAATAGAGTTGTATCTTCAGCTTCTTCTTCACATTCACCATCACTCTCAAATGACTGATCTTGAACTGGCAGATTCTGTTGCATGCATTCTTCTCCATTATGGTTTTCTTCATTGGGAATTCTGGTAGCTGGGATTTTGATTCTGCTTTGAATGCATTCTTCCCAGCAGTGTTGAAGGAAAATTTTCTCCATTCTGATATTGGAGGAGCGAAAGTGGTGAAGGGAAGGTCCTTGCTCCCTGAATTCAATTTCCTCAGGACCATCAAAGAACTCAATACAGTCTTCATCCTCAATTTCTCTCCACCAAACTCCTTCTCCCGGTACGAGGAAGTCAGCAATAGACTGAAGGTGAGCCTCCCAGTGCCTAGCATGTGTGTTGATGACATCTTTGGGTAAAACTGTGTTTCCCAGCTTTGGTAGGGCTTTGCTGATGTTGCTGATTTCCTTTTCTTGCCTGATGATGCAGGTCACAGCTGTGTTTCCTCCTGAAGTCTTCTCTGCTTGCATATGCAGAACTGCATTGCTCACTAAGCTTTCAACTCGGTTGTTCCAGGTCTTCCTGGTGATGTCAGTCAGCTCCTCAAACAACCTCTCAAACATTTCTGCATTAGTTGAACGGTGTGAAGCAAGACGAAGAAGAAAGGCGGAATGAGATACACATGCATGGAAGTATATGCCAAAGAGCTTTCTGCTTGTTAAGGCTCTAGTTGGCGTCATCACTTTTCGGCACAAAATTGCATGCCTCCAACACAGGTTATGCAACCGTAATATCAACTTTGGTGACCTCTTTCTGTCCTGGGCATAAAAAATTTCCACCATTTCGCACAGGGTGGCCAGCAAAGCTCTTACATCATGGGTTGTTGTCTGGTAAAGGGCTATAGTTAAGTAGATTAGTGTCTTGCGATAATCTACTCCTCGTTTTTTCTCTTTGTTAAGTTGGACAGCCAGTATTTCTTTAAGTTTTATCAGTGTATCGATGTCAGAAATGTGATGTGGGATTTCTTCCAGAATGTTTTTAATGTGATTCATGGAGCAGTGAAGAGCTTCAAAACACAGTACCTCATAGGACTGGAGGTTGAGACTTTCCACAGAAACACTCTCATCCCCAAACAACAGTGCTGGAATTCTTGTTGCCCCTCCAAGTTCTTCATTTAAAATTTTTGCAAGTTGTGGTTTCGTTTTGTCTGAATCTCCAAGTCCTCTTGCTTCAATTTCAGCTCGTAGCTCGTTGACCTTGAGATCTTTAAATGGGTTCAGGAGTTGTTTTGCCTCTTTTCCTTTCCTTCCCGCTAACACCAGCTGTTGCCGTTCGGTCAATGTTCTGTACTTTCTTTGGGCCATGTAATCTAGATCATGGCACATGCTTAAATGCCCATCACAACCTGGGCAACCATAATGCCCTCCATGCTGATTTCCACATTCAAAGTTTGCTGCAGGGTTGTCTCCATTCATGAATCTCATCTCATCTTCTACTTCAACATCCTCCTCTGTTTTCACTTTTTGGGTTAAATTTACTAAATCATCATGTCTGGCTGGAACAAATTTTATCTGATCTTCAATACTGGAACTGCTCTGCCCCAGCATATACAGATAGGGCCTCTCCACTGTTACCTGGACATCCACATCTTTTCCATATTGAACTCTAGCTTCTGCATCAGAGAAATGAATTGCTGGGTCATACATCTCTCTCACACAAAAGAGCATGTGACCATAATTTGAAAGGGTTGAATGGTCATGCCAAATCAGCCAATGCCTCTTCCGCTGAAAGCTTTTCAGCCTTTGTTTGATTTCATCATGTGTTCCCCTTATATCCTCACTGATCTTTTCTAGCTCTGCACGAATCTCACTTTCACTGAGCTCTTCATAAAATGCATCATTTTTTATTCGAAGGAGGTCTTTGTTTTTAATCAATGCTTCTTTTCTAATGTCTTGGAAGGGAATTTTCCTCGCTTGCAAGTGGCATTTCTTCTGCTCTATCTCTCCCTGTGCATTTATAGCCAATTTGGTAATCTCTCTTTCTATCACTGGCTCTCCTATGTTGAATTTGCCACTCTCTATTCCCTCATGGATGCTTTGCTTGAGTTGTTTATTTGATTGCATCACAGGCACAGAAATTTCTCCCCCCTTTTGCTTCCTCATAGCTCTGCGTACCCTGAATCCTGGAAAATTAATCAAACCTTACATGAGGCTAGAGAAATGAAAAAAACCCATGAAAGTATTATAGGGTCACATATTCATCATTAACTTGACTTAGACTGTTGTATGCATTCTTATTACTTTAGGCCTTCTTGTTCTACTTCTAAATTCTAAATTTTAACTCTTAAATCTCACTGTTCTTTAATTAATAAATCAAATTTTGTTCAATCCTAATACACAATTTCTTTCACTTATAAATGATATTGCAGAGATGTAACTCTCCACTGTCGGCTTAGTTACAAATTTACCACTTTTTTTACCTGTAAGGCCATCCTCTGAAGTGAGATGCACTTCTGATGGGGGCTTAAATCGGGTAATGTCTACTTTGTTTGAGTTTAAAAAGGCTTTGACTAATTGCCCTCCATTGCCAGGTGTCGAATCACTTCCCTTGGTTTTGATGTTGTACATTCTGGCTTTTTCTGACCAGTTTGGAGGACCATCAGGCCATGACTCTACATCTGCAAGTAGCTGGTCCAACTTTCCTTCTATGTTAGCAAGTGAAGCTGTGTGGGATCGTTCCCTGACCTTTGGTGGGGTCGTTTTTGCTCTCTCCTCGGCCTCTTCAAAGGTTTCAAAGGACAGGGCCATTCTTTGGATTTGTCTTGAACTGTAAGACTGACGAAGGCTAAGGTGAACTGCACTGTCATTTTGTGACATTTTGGTCTCTAGTTCTTTTTTTGTTTGCCTTCGCTCATTTCTCTTCCTTGTTTTCTTTTCAGCAGGTGAAGGCTTCTTTTGAAGATCCGCTTCAGGGACAAGCACTAGAATGTCACTTAGTGATTTTTGAAAGTTTTCCTGGCATTTTTCATTGTAAGTGGCATATATTGCTTCCCCAATGCTTTTTAATTTCCTTTTTGTGACCTTAGGTTCTCTCTGACATTGTCTCTTGACATTTGTGTTAAGTTCAGTCAGAGGTCCTTTCCTAGCACCTCTGCAAAACTTACTTATAGGGAAGGTAGATTGTAATTGAGAGTTGAATAAAAGGCAGGCCTGGCAGCTGGTCAATGAGTGATCTTTTTTCCCTTCTTTACTAATTACTTTGCCCTCATTCCAGTTCATTGAGGAAAATGCTGTTAGGTATGCTTCTTTTTCGGTTTTACTTCTCCAGTTGTAAAATTTTTCATCAATGGTTCTGTAATGCCGCATGAAGTCTTCCCGTTTTATGTGTAGCCCAGGGTATTCTTGAAAATGTTCATTGAAGATTTTAAATCTATCTTGCAGCAATCTAGCAGCAAACTTTGTATTTCCTTCACCGGGAATCCTTTCAGTTTTGCTTAAACTTTTAGTTTCTCTAAGAAACACTCTTGCCCAAGCACAGTCAATCTTTAAAGACATCTTTGTTGCCTTGGCAGAGGATATGGGATTTGATAATGTGTTCTAATTAAACACAAGTTGGAACTCTCCACGCTGCTACTTGAACTAGCTAACTGCTCGAAATTTAAGACAAATTGCGCGCCAAAAACTAAGGAGCTCATGTAACATGTCATACGAGCCGCGTTTGCGGACCACTTTATTCATTCATGAACTAATATAAAGTCTACGAAGGTTTGAATGGACCATTGCCATTCTTCGTGGATTTTTTTATTGAAGAATTACGGAAATATTAAGAAAACACTACCTTGAAATGTATTCTGTAGCCTAGAAGTACACTGTAAATGGCTGTTAGGCACCCTAAAGTTAAAAACGACCCGATTTAATCTTAATTCGAGAGCTCGAAGAATCCTCTCCTTCGACCGCCATCTTGAAGTCTGCTTTTTAGTCCACAGTTCATTTCACCATATCCCCCAGAAAAAGGGCATAAATACAATTAAATTCTTCCCCAGGGGAGAGGGATTCGAAGTTTCTGTTTCAGTCTCCCAACGGCCGTGAAACAAAATGGCGTCCGAATCGGAACATTGTCGAGTGACGNTGGATAATGCATTAACGCCTTTGAGGAGTGCATCCCGTCCATCTTTGGAGAATACTCCATGAGAATTAACGATCTCTTCACGAAAGTCAAGCTCTACAGATGAACTATTTGCTTTTCGTAGAATAGTGTAAGCCTCTGAAACATCGTACAGCTTTGTTACATCTCGAAAGGGGTTGAACCGCGTACGTTGGGTCATAATGATCTTGTCGATTTCTCTGGACAGCGCGTACCTTTGTTCGGCTGCACAAAAAGAATCCCAATCACTTCCCTTCCTAGCAATCAAGTCTGTGACGGGGATAGATAGAAAGGCGCAGCTGTTGGTAGCATCGTCTGGGATATTTTGATCCAGGGGAATATCTCCAACTGCGATATGCCTATCATGGTGCTCGATTGCGGTGCTTTGGCTAGTCGACAGTGGTATGTCACTGCATGGTGGCTTGATTTTAGCAGCCTTAAACAGCTGGACTACTTCGCGAACTCTAGGCCTGCTCTTCGAACAAAAAAAAGTGCATTGGCTAAGAATTGATTCCATTTCTTGCCAGATTGTTGCTTGAAATCTGCAGTATTTGGAAGACCAAGTCGGTAACATACGTTCTTTGAATCTACTCACCAACTCATTTCGTAAGCTTTGGAAGTTGTTTTGAGGAACCTGGTCAAGCTCATGCTGGTAGGGGATCGGAACTCTAAATCAGGATTCAATAGCAGGAAGATAATCATTCCCATTGACCAAACATCACAGGCCTTCAACTGCTCAAGGGACATAGCTTCGCCTGTGCTAGTGATTATCTCCGGAGCCATGTAGACAACAGTTCTGCTGTCGACGTTTGTGGTTCTCGAGTGACATAATGTCTCAGTCTATTGTAGGGAAGCTCGACTTTCTCCAAAGTCCACCAGTTTGCAAAGGACAGCTTCCTTCTCCCAGGCTTCTCGAATTTCATCCTCGTTCTTATATTAGCAGTAATGCTGGTTAGAAATAAGCACGTTTCCTGGCTTCAAGTCTCTGTGCACGATATTTCTATCGTGGAGGTACTGTAGGCCAAGAGAGGTGTCTTCCGCTATCTTGCTGTGCAAGCAGGCCAACGCTGACAGTACTTCTTCTTTCCCACTCGTGTAATCCAAGTAAGGA